ATCTTATCTTCTGAGCACTAGTGATGTCCCGAACGGTTCGCCAGCGAATAGTTCCTGGCGAACATAGTGTGTTCGCGTTCGCCATGGATCGCGAACATATGCGATGTTTGGTCAGCCATCTATTAATTTATTAATACTAAGTAAAAATTACTTAGTATTAGTAAATTGTGCCCCTACTCGCAATACCGCAATACCGCGATTAGGGGCATGTCTATTAAACAGTGACCAGCCTGTGGCTGCTCACTGTTTTAAAAAAAAAAGGCCCCCCCCCGGTGGGGGCCCTAAATACTAATAGGGGGGGACCTATTGTCCTCCCCCCGGCCCCCACCCCAGAGCGGTGGGTGGGGGCCCTAAAAATACCAATAAGGGGGGGACCTATTGTCCCCCCCAGCCCCCACCCCTGAGCGGTGGGTGGGGGCCCTAAAATGAACAATAAGGGGGGACCTATTTGTGACAAAGTGCCCTTCGCCACTTGGTACTGGAGAGGCCTGCTTGCCAGCCTCCTCCCCTGTGACTATGACTCTTTGATGTATTTGCCTTTAAAGCCCCTATTCTACCCTCAGACAGACTATTTATGTAGGCTGCTTTATTTATCTTATGTTTTAGTCACCCTGTACCCATTATAGGTACAGGGTGTGTGTAATGTAATTGTTTATAGTGTGTGTGTGTACTGTGAAATGTATTGCCTGCTCTCTTGTATTGCTGAGGTTTGCTACCAACTAGGTGGGTTTGGCTATGGAGCTGGTCTAGTGCCCTCTGTTGGTAGCAACAGCAATATACACTACCTGGATTGCAAGACTGGTTCATTTGCATATTCGGGTAGATTTGCATATTGCTAATGCTGCAGGCAGGTGAGATATTTACTGTTAAATATTGTCTCCCACCCCTTTAAAAATGTGCCATTGTGTTGTGATAAGTCACTGTGTGTTTCTTGATATGGTTTGACTGTTTGTGATTTTATTGAGGTTTCACAACAATGTTATTGTGGTGACTGTATTGGCTGGTCCCAAGGGAATAAAGGTTTTGACAGTTCTTCTTGATTGCTCTAAACGTAGCCTTGTCTCGTTATTGGAGGGAGCTGTTATAATCACACTGGGGATTGCTATGCTCTGCATGCTCCCTTGAGCTTGAGTCACTTAGCTCTTTTAAGAGCTTGTTCCTGACACACTCTCCTTGGAGGAGGGGTCTTCACCACACAGTCCTGGAGGACAGAAGCTGATCCAGGGTGGAAGGAAGACGGCGAGACTCCAGTCAAGATACGGCGGTTGCGGAGTCTGCGGTGGTTGTGGTGTCTGCTGCAGCGCTTGGAGTCCTCAGGAAGCACTAGGAGCATCCGTCAACGGAGGGTACTCAGTCGGAGTACAAGGAGCTCCGTAACACTATTGTCCCCCCCACCCCCACCCCTGCGCGGCGGGTGGGGGCCATATTGATAATGAGGGGGGGACTTACTGCCCGCCCCCGGCCCCCACCCCTGCGCGGCAGGTGGGGGCCATATTGATAATGAGGGGGGGGACCTAATGCCCCCCCCGGGCCCCCACCCCTGCGCGGCGGGTGGGGGCCATATTGATAATGAGGGGGGGACCTACTGCCCCCCCGGCCCCCACCCCTGCGCAGCGGGTGGGGGCCATATTGATAATGTCCTCCCCCCCCCCGACCCCCACCCCTGGGCTGCGGGTGGGGGCCATAAGTAAATTCCCCCCCACAAGGTTATTTTATTCCCCCCTAAAAAATAGTGAGGGGGGAATAAAATAACTAACCTGTAAAATAAAATTAAACTTACCATTCAATGTCTTCTTTTTTCTCAAATTTTTAGCCCCAAAAAAGGCCAAATAAAAAACCATCATAACCATCGAACTAAAAAAAAAAAAAAAAATCCCGAGCGCAAAAAAAAACCCGGCTTGAAAGCCATCCAATCACAGTGCTCTGTGCCATTTTACACAGCGTGGGAAAGTTCTTTTGAGTTTTCCCACGCTGTGTAAAATGACAAAGAGCACTCTGATTGGCTTAAACCCACCAATCAGAGTGTTCTTAGCCTAATTGCAGGGCATGGCAAGGCTTTATAAGCCTTCCCCCGCCCTGCAGAGCTCAGTCTGCGCGGAGCCCTCCATGGGTGAAGATGGATTATTTTTTTGCGCTCGGGTTTTCTTTTTCGTCAGGTTTTTTTTGCGCTCGGGATTTTTATTTTTTTTTTTTAGTTCGACGGTTATGATGGTTTTTTATTTGGCCTTTTTTGGGCTGAAAAATGAAGATTTGAGAAAAGAAGACGCCGAATGGTAAGTTTACTTTTTATTTACAGGTTAGTTATTTTATTCCCCCCTCACTATTTTTTAGGGTGAGGGGGTAGGTAGGGACTTTTTATTTGGGGGGGGGGAGGGGTGACTAGGCCTTGGGGACCCCTAGTCACCTTGGGGAAGGAGGAATTTACTTAGGGCCCCCACCCGCAGCCCAGGGGTAGGGGCCGGGGGGAGAGGACAGTAGGTCCCCCCCTCATTATCTTTATGGCCCCCACCCACCGCCTAGGGGTGGGGGCCGGGGGGGAGGACAGTAGGTCAGTAGGACTGTTCACTTGCTACCTAACATATCCCAATGCTTTGTGATTCACTTCACCTGTCAGTGGTTTTAATGTTGTGTTTTAATATTGCGGCTGATCAGTGTTTTTCAGTCTGACAATTTTGTAACTCCTGGTATTTCGTGTAACTACCAAAAATAAAATGAAATCCTAGACATAACTCTGTAAATCAGGACAAGTAAATATATTTTTGTAATTACTTTCCTTTATATGCTCTACTTATGTATACTTTATTAGTGAAAAACTGTAAAAATATGTTTTTTGCATTTTTAGTATTTTTTTAACAAATGATTTTACATATATATATATATATATATATATATATATATATATATATATATATATATATATTTATCCTTTAGAACAAGTTATATGTGTTGGTGCAATAAATGAGGAAGTAGTTAGAATAACAAGGCATTTGTCACAAAGTTTAACCCTAATTCGAAGAGTGTAGGTAGCAGATATATGTTTAGATTGGAATAAATTTAGAACCAGGCCTTAAAGTGGCTGGACTTAACATAATAAATAAAGAAACCATAGTCAAATATCAAGCCTAGGGTATGGAGAGACAGTGAAAACAAGAACAAGCCAAGGTCAAGTACACAATAAATGAAGCAGACAGGTAAGGGTTACAGAGAAACTCGGGTTCAAGACCAATGCCAAAGCCACTACAAGAAAACTGTATGAATCAATGAATGCACTAAAGTGTATTAAGAACAGAAATAACAATAGGGCAAAACAAATAGGATCAGGAATGTTTAAATGCTTTGTGATTTGTCCACATCAGTCCTGCAACCCCCACGTATATTGTGTTCAGACCACAAACCGCATTCATTACTTCATAGGTTTGGCTGTATGAATGCATATCTCCAGTGACATTCTGTGACATTTGGTGTGCGGCCCCTTTGGAGTTCCTTTCCCTGCCTGGGCCATGCAAACAGCTCTGGCATTCAGGGTACGTGGCCCGAACAGAGAACCTGGGCTGGCACGAGGACTGGGTAAGTAATGCTACAGTGTTTTAGGAAATCTGAAAAGCCAAGTGACTTTAACTCTAATGACTTTCAGAATTTAAAGTCAGGGTCACAAAGCATTTTGTGAAATCTTAAAATCCTAGTGTCTCTGACTCTATTCTTAGTGTCAGAAATCAAAATCAAAGTCACATCAATATCTGGACTAAATCTGCTATATAAAAAATATATATATCATTGTCCTAAATGGACACCATACAAGCTTGGTTCTGTGTAACACACATACCCTGGAGATATGATTTGACTTCAGCAAATGACTCTAATACAAATGTTTATCTTTGGTTTCTCTGGTTATAGGTGCTTAATTAAAGATACAGTAAGTGATAGCTGCTGGTAAAATGTATTAAACTTTGTTAAAATGTTTACCTTAAACCATGGAAATTGTGTTTTCCAGATAAGACTATGTACTCCTGTAAAATGCACAAATAAATCAGTTATTGAAAAGCTGATGAATTGAGCTATTCTCTAGACTCCATGTTAATGGCTACTTCTCTCTATCACTTGGTGATGAAGCCTTTTGCCCAAAGGGATCTATCTGATAGGGTTATTAAATTCATTGCTTTTATTCCAAACAAAGGAACATAGTTACCATCTTTTATTACTGTAAATTCCAGGCTTCAAATAATGCAGGTGCATGGGTTTCTCTTTTTGGTGTTTTAACAATCATATTTTTATTCTTTTAAAGAAGCACACTCTTTTGTAGAGATGGAACTCACTTAGATCGATTTATATAGTTATATATTAACATCAACCCTTAACAACACTGTAATGCAAGTGATGCTTTAGGGTGACTTATATTTCTCTTTCAGCACATAAGTAGTGCTGTCTGGTAAGATTCTCCTCCTTGCCAATCATCCTCAAAACCTGGGTCCTTTTAACATAGATGTCCCTTTTATCCTAGCTACATATCAGATAGACAGCAGTCGTCCTCCCCTTCCCTGGTCTTTCAGGGGGAATTCTTAATAGCTGACCCTTTAACGTTCCACCCTCAAGTTTACACCATTGTTCCTAATAAACTCTCTGAAACACGTATATATTGGACAGGGCAACATACACAGCTTTCTCATAAATATGTTTTAAAATCACAGCAATGCCTTAAACAACCAGTCAGCTGCTTGGGGGGTTGCCAATAAGTAATCTAATCCTAACTGAATTCCATGAGTCCTGTTCAGCCTGCCTCCCACAATTAAACTTCAGCAGGCTAACTTGGACAACATGGGTCTGCATGGCCTATCAATAGACTCCCTGTAAGGAGATACCTGATCCAACAAGTTCACATACTAACCAATACTAATATTCACCCTAAAGTCTAAACCACCTCTTGCTGCATTGTTATTGCTAGGCAAACACTCTAAAAAGTAACAGCTAATGCTTACTCTGACTCCTTGACCTTACATCTCTACCTATCTATGCAAATCTCCCCAAGCAGCACCACATTCATATTCATGGATAGTCACAGCAGACCGCAAGGCAGGCTTCATATCCTCCAACTCAGTCTCCTCATCAGAATCAATGTCCTTAGCACATCCATCCTCCAAGACTTTATTGAGAAGCTGCTGGTAGCATCCTTCTTTTGTAAAGTAGCGGGGGCTTGTGATGGGGACATAGTCCAAGATAAATCTCTGTCAGTGTGTGGGGGCTGTTTAATAAAAGAAAGATGGGCAAATCCTAATATTATTATTATTATAATTTTATTATTTATATAGCACCAGCAAATTTTGTAGCGCTGTACAATGGGTGGATGTCAGAACTTAACTAGCGGCCTTGCCGATATCTGACACTTCCGGGTTCACCAACCTAGGACACACCCCCTTCTCTGATGCGGCTTCCTTACGCTACTTAGAGGAACCGTGCCAGATTCCACTTGGGTTCCTTAAAACTAGAGGAACTCGTCTCAACGAACTACCTTCTTATTGCATTCCTCAAAGCTAGAGGCACTAGCTTTGAGGAATGTGGAGACCGGCTTGGAGACTATGGTGAGGACTAATAGAAAGCAGTTGTTGGGAGATTCCATCGTAAGAGGTGTGGAGATGGACAATGGTGGTCTTGTGAGGTGTCTTCCCAGAGCTACTGCTCACAGAGACAGGAGACGTATCTGTAATATTGTTAAGCAAGCAAAGCAGGAAGGGGAATTGGATGTACTTGTCCATCTAGGGACAAATGACTTGGCTTGCAATGAGGTTTCAGAGGTTAAGGAAGTTTTTAGTGTTTTTGCCAATGATATACGGCAGGTTGCTTCCACACTGTCATTCTCTGAAGTTCTGCCTGTGCATAACACTCAGAATGACAGGCGGATGCATATTAGGGACTTTAATTTGTGGCTTGGTGAATGGTGTTGGGAATAAGGATTTGGATTCATTTCTCATGGTAGCTCTGTTTGGAATGGAAATAACCTGTACAAAAAAGATGGTTTGCATCTTTCTCAAAAGGGAACAAATGTTGTCAGTGAGCAGTTCAGAGGTTTTGCTAGGATGTATTTAAACTAGGAGGGGGGGCAAAAGGGTGAAAAAACATCAATCCAATTGTCCCCCAAAACAAGGACAGAAAGTGCCTGTGGCAAGTGTGTTAAAAAAATGATAAGCTTAGAGTCATGTCTACAAATGCTCGCAGTTTAGGGAATAAGATCATGAACTTGCAATAATGGCAACTGAAGTGTAGATTTAGTCGCTGTTACTGAGACATGGTATAATGAGAAAAATGACTGGAACATAGCAATAACAGGGTAATCTTTATATATAAAAGATAGAGAAGGCAAGAAAGGGAGAGGGGTAGCCCTGTATGTAAAGGATAGCATAAAATCTAGCCTAATAAAAGTTAGTGAGGCGAACATAGAGTCCGTTTGGGTTACGTTAGAATTTGGTAACAGTAACTCGTGTAGGTGTGATTTATAGGCCCCCAGGACAAATTAAAGAGTTAGATAACCTACTAGTTGAGGAAATAGCTAAAATGACAATGAAGGGGGAAGTTATCATCATGGGTGAAAAACATGGCATCATTTCATTCTTTGTGTGTTATTAGTTTAAGCAGACTGTGATTGTCTATTGTTGTGATTTAGATGATGATCAGATCACATTTTATGACCAATTTGTGCAGAAATCCATATCATTCCAAAGGGTTCACATACTTTTTCTTGCAACTGTATAGATTAAAAATGACGTTTTATTGTATTCATTTATTTTACACAGCATAGTACTACTGCGATTTTCCTGTCTATTTACACCATAGAACTGTTACCTCCCTTTTCTCTTTTTCTTTTGTCAGTTAACTTAATACAGGGGTTACCCCCCTCCCTATTAGGACGTACTAGTTAACACAAAGCTCCAATTTTCTTTCTCTATTATTTAAATAGTCCAGGAAAAGTTTAAGAAACATTAAAAAGAGTTCCAGGTGTTGCCTTGAACTCCAAATTCCCCAGATTTAAATCTGATTGAGCATCTGTGGGATGTGCCCAGAGCACATGTACTTCTATAAAATACATTGTACACTTCAATATTAAAATGTATTAAAATGTGTTTATTATAATAGGTTTATACTATATAGTATAATACTAGGTTTAACTTTTTATTGTTGCATAAACCTCTTAGGTATTCACCCTTAATTATGTATATTTGTGTGTTTGTCTCTTACATTGCCAAGACTTTGTACTCACAAAACGATCACCAACACCATATATGTATTGTCAAAATAGGAAAGAGTCATTTATAAGTAAAAACTAACATTTGAAATAAATACAATGTAATATAAAAATAGAGATTCATGTGCAATAATTATTGAGATAGATGATAGAATATTTTTCTACAATTTGTAGAAATAATTAAACTAACCCAAGAAAAGTATTCTCTAGCTGTAAGAGTTGTAACAATTCAGTACAAATTCAGTTCCAAAAGCAGATGCTCAGTTTATAATAGATTTTCGTACATTGTATGAATAAAAAATTGATGTCAAGTGTCTATAGAAACTGACTTAGAAATACCATATTGCTTAACCAGAGAAAATAGCAATACTGGAAATCTATGAAAAAAATATGAAAAGGCATTTGTATGATTTTCTAGATATATACACAGCTTTGAAAGTAATGGCCCTTCTTGGAAGGTTTGTAAAACCAATGATATTATGCATTGAATAATGATTTAGAATCCAACAATCTTTCTGCATTTTCTTCAGCAATTTTCATTTGCTATATTTTCCTCCATTTTTATTCGTCAAACTGTTTTGGAGCAAACATGGCACTCTCATTAACATACAGAATATGTCCTCCTTGTCCACCTGCCTTGCTATTCACATGTCAGTCTTTTCAATTAATCAGTTACATCCAACCTGGACTGCAATGAATGGCTCAGAGTACTAAACTTACCTGTCTGTCTCTGAGTGCCAGGGATGGACTCAGTTTTTGTTAAGCTTCTTCTCTTCCAAGCAGTTTGGCAAGGCTGGGGGACTGTGCTAAGTGATGCACTTAAAAAAACACATATCATTCCAATGTAACTGCACTTCCTAATCCCCACTGGAATGTTCCATAATTGCCTTACAGAATAATTTTGGGATTACGTTGTTGCATTAGCTGCCAAATTTTGATGAGACTTCACAGTTGTCAGTTTTATTGGCACATATGGAGAATACTCTCTGCAAGGGTACACCTCAGTGGAAGCAACTGACTTGTTAGTGACAAGAACACTTACAATATCCTCATCTCCTAAGGTCTCAAAGATAGAGCTGTGGCAACTGACATGTAATGTGGATAAGTGCAAGATAATGCATCTTGGGTGTAAAAACCCAAGGGCAGAGTAAACAATATTTCATACCCTACTAACCTCAACCTCTGAGGAAAGGGATTTAGGAGTAATTATTTCAGATGACTTAAAGGTAGGAAGACAATGTAAAAGAGCAGCAGGAAATGCTAGCAGAATGCTTGGTTGTACAGGGAGAGGTATTAGCAGTAGAAAGAGGGAAGTGCTCATGCCATTGTAAAGAACACTGGTGAGACCTCACTTGGAATATTGTACGCAGTACTGGAGACCTTATCTCCAGAAGGATATTGATACTTTAGAGAGAGTTCAGAGAAGAGCAATTAAACTGGTTCATGGATTGCAGGATAACAAGGAAAGATTAAAGGATCTTCACATGTATAGCTTGAAGGAAAGACAAGACAGGGGGGATATGATAGAAACTTTTAAATATGTAAAGGGAATCAAAGCAGTTAAGTATGAAACTATATTTAAAAGATGAAAAACTACCAAAACAAGAGGGCACAGTCTTAAATTAGAGGGGCAAAGGTTTAAAAATAATATCAGGAAGTATTACATTACAGAGAGGGTAGTGAATGCATGGAATAGCCTTCCAGATGAAGTGGTAGAGATTAACGCAGTGAGGGAGTTTAAGCATGCGTGGGATAGGAATAAGGCTATCCTAGACTTAAGATAAGGCCAGGGACTAATTAAAAGTAATTAACCCTCTGAATTTTATATTTTCAAATGGCTGTCCTGGAACTTTATTATCCTTATATACCTAGGCACCATTCACTGGATTCGGATGTACTCTGTACAGTAACTTCTACTTTTTTATTGGAACCAATGATAGTGGGAAGGCTACAAAGTACTATGTGAGAAATGTCCCACTGGAAAACCTACCCTTTAGATACTCTGTAAGGTGATTTTCCAATATAGGATAGGTAATCCTTAGTGATGTCGCGAACATAAAATTTTCGGTTCGCTAACGGCGAACGCGAACTTCCGCAAATGTTCGTGAACCGGGCGAACCGCCATAGACTTCAATAGGCAGGCGAATTTTAAAACCCACAGGGACTCTTTCTGGCCACAATAGTGATGGAAAAGTTATTTCAAGCGGACTAACACCTGGACTGTGGCATGCCGGAGGGGGATCCATGGCAAAACTCCCGCCCAGCAGCACCACCAATCCTCGCCGAGACATTCAGTGTTTAGAAGCACTGCGGTCTGCTCGTTAGACGTAAAGCACCTCTGTCGGCTCCCAGGTCAGGTAAGTCACAAGAAAAATCACCAATATAGGCAGGTAGTCATAAAATCAAAGATTAAAGATAATCGTGTTTGGAGCTCACAAAACATGCGTGAAGCCACCAAGAGGCTCAGGCCACACACCCCATGATATGTTAAATGTCTGTGTTTGGCAATAACAACATATGATAGTCCTTTTTGCAGGTTCCCTTCTATATCTTATTATGGTAAAATGCGCCAAGACCAATATTATGTAAAAACAAGTACCCCCACAATCTCTCCTACCCTCCATATTTGGAGGGAACTTAGGTAGTCTTCTCTCCCCATAGCCATTTCGAATTCTACCGCTTACGCATAATCCATTATTCTTACCTGGATGGGTAGAAGACAATTATTCTGCAAAGTTAACTTCATTCTACCCCCCACTGAAAGTTGTCATTTCTAGTTCAGGTATATACCTCTTCCACACCTAATGCATAATTCTCATCATTCCTTTTTAGATAAAGATGCATATTAAAATCACATCAAAGAACTTTGCATAAAACTGAACAAACTTGTTGTTATTGCCTCATTCCCTCACCAATGCAGCTGGAGGGGACGGGGT